TGGATGCTGATTATTGTCGTCGAAAAAATTGCCCCCGCGCTTGGACCACTTTTCTAATTTCCAACTGTATTATAAATTATATTTTATTCCTATTTTAACTCTTTAATTCCTATTCTATGTAGATAGTTATTTTACATACTCAGCTATACTAACAAAGTATATTTTTAGTTTGAACCATATCTTCCTTAATAGTGAGTTGAATAATTTATAGATTGAAACATAATTTAATGATTTCCTATAATTTCTCTCCCCTCTCCCCTTCTCATATTCCATATTTCACAATTTTTTCCAAATAAAACAAAAAATTGCATACAACAATTATTAAATCAAAATAAGACTGCAAATAAACGTCAACATTCTTAATAATTTTTATATTTCTTTTGAAATATCAATTGCAATGTTTCAGGTTCGACACAAAATTGGTTTGTTTTTTTTTTATATGTTTATGAATAGGCTATCTATTTTAATTTTTGTTTAAAGTTATCCTTGATATGTTTTTTTATTTATAATAATATCTATCGTTCCGAAAACAAAAATCCTTGATATGTGTTTTAGAGATATAAAAGATGACTTTTTCTGCAGTAACTAACTACCAAACTTAAATGATTTTTTGTTACAGCTACTAACATTTTTTTGTTTGTTCGATTTTCTATTGAAATTTGTGAGTTGATATTAAATAACAATTTTTAGTTAATAACTTGACTAATTCTCATCATTAAGATCCACTACTTTTAAATATTGTGTGACAATAATGATGATTTTTGTAAAATGTGAAAAATGTGCATAGGATTGCATAGATTCAATAAAATCAAGACAGATGCGATAATATATGATAAATTCGATAGTTGCGTTAAACAGTTTTGTATAGGATATTAACCATATTTATCTAGATTTCAAATTTTAAGGAAAGTATTATTACTGGTCGACTTTATATTAAATACAAAACATAACAAATATATTTTATGGCAACATTTTGAGTTTCTAAAAAATAATAAATAAAAGTTACTATAAATGGCATGTAATAAATGCTAATGGAGTTTGATTAAGATTTGACTTACTATTTTTAAAAAATGGTAAATCATTTTATATATATATAGATTCTCGATTGTGCTGAGCCTAAGTGGCAGACTCGCATGCTTTGAGATTTTAGGTGTCAAATTTTTGTTCTTCATTATTTGGTTTGGATAGATTTTAATTTAAATCCAATACAAAAATAATTTGGTTCGGATTTCCATAAATATATTGGTTATTTATGATCATTTTAAATGTATTAATTGTATTTTAATATCATTTCTTATTATAACCATTGAAATTGTAAATGTATTTTAAAAGTTGATAACTTTTGTATTTCTTATCTGTTTTGCATATAAAATATATCAAATTAATCATCATTTGATGATATTCGATTTGACATTCATATTGTATGTATACAATAAATAAGATATATTTATTTTTATAATAAGTCGCACAAGTAACACGTGTCATTCTAAAATATATAATAATATATATTTTTTATAACAAGTATTTAAATTTTAAACCACTTTTCCTCAATAGTTTTAAAATTTAAGAAAAAAAAAATTAACAAGCACCCGTGTAATACATGAGTGTTCTACTAGTTAAAAATTAAAAACAAACAGAAAATAGGGGGAAAAAATAAGTTGCCAACAATGGTCTTTATTTCAAATACTGTAAGAAAAAGTACATATAAAAGTTCAATTGAAGCCCAAATAGTGTTTATTTCAAGTACCTATAAGTGTATAACATACTATAATTCATCACATAAGTTCATTAAAACCCTTGGTACAAACCATTTCCCATACTTAAAATCTTAAAACACGAGCAAAACCGAAGCTCAAACATAATTTTCACAATTTTGCAACTTGACATCCTCGATCGGCAGACTGTCTGTGGGGAAAGGGCAAATAGTCTTACTCCCAGCCAACTCAGGACATGCCGGGGGCGTCACATTTCTCGAAGTACCCTTAATATATTCACAAGCCGCCCAAGGCTTCTTCTTCGTCTTGGCCATCGTAGCAACCAAGTTAGAAACGCAAATTCCGGTAAACGAGTCATTCGCAATCGCGGAAAGGTTCCCAACCATGGTCACGTTCTCCGCTACAATATTGTTATAGTTTATATTTCTCACTATAGGAAACGCGTTCGGGTTGTATTTATCGTCCGCGTGCTGCCCATACCCGCCAGTCATCCACAAAATGTACTTCATCGTTTTCAAGAACACGTTCCGAACGAATATCTTCTCGACATAGCCTCCACGCCCGGGGGACGTTTTTATCCGCACTGCCGACTCGGTGTTTAAGGCGTAGATGTGTTGGGCTCGGACGTCTTTGATTCCGCCCGACATTTCGCTGCCGAGGGCAATGGTGGCCGAGGTGGGAGAGATGCACGTGATCCTTTGGATGCTAAGGGCCTCGGTTGGCCTCCCGAATTTGATCCCGTATTCGTCCCACCCGCTCTTGACTGCGATGCAGTCATCTCCCGAGACGATGTACGAGTCCCATATGCGCGTGTTCTTACACGAGTCTGCATGCGCGACGAAAATCGAACGATATTAATAATCGTTAAGGGTCCGATTGGATACAAATCTATCTGATTATGATTGACCAAAAAATTTTGTTAGCTCAATATCGAATCCAAATTTAACTTAACACAACATTTTTTTTTTCAATATTATCAATATAATTCAATCATTGTCACACATCACATCAACTTTAATTCGATGTTCATCCACTCAAATAATTATAGTCGTTATTTTCAATCATATTTTTCATATTTTTACATTAAGTCAACTTTAATCATTACATTTTACTTATTTAAATACTATTTCAAAATTACACTCAAACCAAAATTCAATCAACTTTTTTTTTTTTTTTCAAACTTAACTCAGTTTATTCAATAAGTTTAATCAATTCCAAAATAACTTATATTCAATGAGACCATAAATCTTGAAATGCTTATGCTTATATCCAATCGAATTTTAAGAATTATATATGTTATACTGGTTTGATGATTTTAAAATATATTAAAAAATTATTGAGGCATTTATTTAGAATTTCAAAAAGTGTTAAAAAAAAGTGATGAGTTATTCAAATTTCAACAGCACTTGGATTTTTTACAACTTTGTAATGCTTTTTGTGATTTCCAAAACAAAATACATCTACGGAAAATCTCAAACGATTACACCCTCCGAAATGTAATATAACTGCACGAACCTGGATTGATGCCGTCCGTGTTTGGCGAATCGACAGGGGCAAGAATGGTAATGTTCTGAATGATGACGTTCCTAACAAAATTTTCCGAACAAAACGAAAAAAAAAAAAAAAGCAATCGATCGAGGAATTTCGTTAAAGGTATGTATATATATAGTAAAACTTGAGCATATATATGATTTATCATCAGTACATAAGAAGAGAGCGTACGTACTCGCAATATGTAGGATGGAGATGCCATGAAGGAGAGTTTTGGAGGGTAATATTGGAAATTTGCACCTGATTAGAGAAGATGATTTCAATCAAGTATGGCCTTGTGTTTTTAAGAGCTTTATTCCTGAAACTTTCCCACCAAGGTTTTCCCTGACCATCTATAGTTCCATTTGCTCCTGAAATTAAAATAAACACACAAATATTTGATATATATATATATATATTTTTATTATTATACAATTGAATATATACATTTTAAAACTAGATGAAATTAATTAATTATAAATATTTATTTATCAGTTACCTGTAATTACGACATCAGTAAGATTTGTTCCCGATATAAGACTAGCAAACCGCGGTCCGACAGCATCTCTTCCTCTTCCATACGAAGGTAATGGAGGGATTAAAGGAAAATCCGATTGTTTCTACGTACACAATTCATATGCACATTATTATAACTTTTAATTAATAATTTTGTCGTCGTCATATGTAAAAACAAACTAAAATTAAACCAAAATATCGATATGTGGTAATTTTACGTAACTTATACGAAAGAAGAGATGTTTTTATTAATTAGAACCTGAGATGCTAGAATAACAGCACCGTTGTCCAAGTACAACGTGAAATGGCTAGTGAGATTAAACGGTCCCGTCAGCCATCTCCCTCTCGGGACAACGAGCATGGCCCCACCTTGCAAGGCACGTGTGCTAAGGTAACCAATGGCCGCCTTAAATGCTTTCGTGTTGGAAGTTTTCCCATCTCCTATCCCTCCAAAATAGGTCAAATTCGCGACGTGCTTACGACAGTTGACCTCCGAGTAAAGCACGACTCGTTTCTCATTGCATCCTGCGACGTGATGCAGGCAGAGCAAAACCAAGCCGAAACAGAGCATAAACCTCTCCATAACCTAAAATAAATAAAAATAAAAAATAAAAAAGAGGAAATTTAAGTGAAGATCAAATCTAAGAAAAATGGTTTGATTTTGGGAGGGATGGAGTAGTTAATTATATGTGAAATTAATGTATCTTACTTGGAATTTATTGATGTGAGGGATTGATTAATATATTTGGATGGTTTTGTGATGATATTTATATTGGGATTAATGGTTAAAAGTTTCTAAAGAATAATATAAGTTTTATCTGTTATATAGCACGAGGGTTATCAAAATTCAAAAATTTCAAATATATGTCATCATGAAGCCATGCAAGAAAATCGAATAAGGCAATAATAGTCAACGACAACCCGTGGAATGGCCGAATGAGACTTCACTTATGGTGACATTTATTATTATTATTATTATTATTATTATTATTATTATTATTATTATTATTATTATTATTGTTGTTGTTGTTGTTGTTGTTATTAACGAGGCTAATTATAGAAAAGGACAAATTGCAGTCAGTTTTCACCTCGTTAAAGTTTTATTCATGTTAATCTATGTGACTTTAATTTAACACAAAGTTAAATACATTGTACCGAATTTAAAACCCATATGTCTACTGAACAATAATTACTGAGCTACTTAATATTTTAATTTTCCTAAAAGGTCAGCAAAGAA